TTTCAATTAAATCATAGGACCTGACTTTAAGTTAAGGTTGGTTATCAAGATCTAATGCATGATTTGATGTCAAAAATAAGTGGGCAGTGCTGTTAGTTTCTGTGTATTGTTTTAAACTGTATTCAGTGCCAAACAGTGAACAGGAAGGACCTAATCTCAGAGGTTTTTGTAGCTTCTCCATGGGCCCTGCTAAGAGTCACACTCCTTATATTCTCAGAGTTTCTCTAGATTCACTGGTTATACAATCTGTGATCTGAGCAGATTTGGGTTTGGAGACTCATATTATGGTTGCAGACACAGACATATACATCAGTGAAGGTCAAATAAAATGAAGGTCTTTATCAGGGGATGTGCCACATTCTAGGACTCAGAAAAACAAGTCAGTGAAATTAATATAGCTATAATTGCTGATAAAGCCCATTAAGAGGTCTTTTTGTGGTGATACTATAACTTTAAGAATTAAATTTGCTCAAAAATCAACAAGTAACCAGCCTTATCCAAATAGTAGCCATGGAAGAATAACATAAACATAAAGAAATTTCAGTTAACTATATGAAAGGAAGTAAGAGGTTTGGGGTGGAGGAGAGCTGAGATTGCAGCAGATTCTACCAAAAGGAAGGGAAAATGCCATATTGAAGTCCTGCCTACACAGTTAAGACAAGATAAAAATAAGCTCCTCTTAGCTGCTCTTTAGGATGGAAGAAGCAATAGAGAGGCCATTACTGACACATGATTGAGGCTCCAGGAGAGGCAGGAGGCATTTAGAGCAAACTACAGTATTTCTGAAAGGGCCATTGAGGAAAACACTCAAAGGATCCCTCTTAAAGCTTCAGGTCAAATCCATTAAAAAATTATCCAGTGACTGGGTCACTGCTTAGAGATGATGCCTCTCTAACAAGAAGGGCTTCCCAGGTAGTGTGAGTGGTAAAGAACCCGCCTGCCAATGCAGAAGAGGTAAGAGAAGTGGATTTGATCCGTGGGCTGGGAAGATCCCCTTCCCACTCCAGTATTCTTGTGGCAACCCACTGCAGTATTCTTGTGGCAACCCACTCCAGTGTTCTTGCCTGGAAAATTCCATGGACAGAGGAGCCTGGAGGGCTACAGTCCATGGGGTGGCAAAGAGTCGGACACAACTGAAGCAACTTAGCACAGCATAGCACAGCTCTAACAAGTGATCACAGAACAACTGCCCGGACTGCAGACAAGCCTCTGAAGAAGAGCACTGCCTCCCTGATGCCATTCCTAGGGTGATTTGAAGTGACCAATTACTGAGAGGCATGAATGTACTTTCTGTCCTCTGGCGCAGGATTTAACCTTGACACTACTGACATTTGGGGACCAGAGGAGTCACTGCTATGGGGACCACCCTATGCACTATGGGATTTTTAGTAGCATCCCTGGCTTCTACCCAGCAGGTGCCAGGAGAAACCCCCAGTTATGACAAACCTGTCTGTAGACTTTGCCAAATATCCCCTGGGGAGAGACAGTCAAATCACTCCCAGATGAGAATCATTGTTCTGAGGGAATTTTCCTGAGAAATTAATGATATTAGGACTTTGGGGTAAACACACAGCAAAGGAAACATACAAAAGAAGGCAGCAAATAACAGACCAGGTTCAGTTCTGGTTTAGATGTTATTTCAGTGGGAGAATGCCACCCAAGTGGATAATTCATCAGAAACAAAACTGGGTAAGTTTACTTTGAACAATGGACTTGTTTGGAAGACTTAGAACTCACTGATTTTATATCTTTCATGATACATTACCCCATACAAGACAAAATCAGGAGGAATATGCTAGAAAAGCAAGTATCTTGGCCCATAAAAAACAACAAAAAGCTTAACAAACACTAAAACAGAACAAAGATTGCTAATCCTAGATAACGGAAAAGAAGAGGTCGAATTAAGCAGATTTAAACTGTCAAGACCCATTTAGGTGTTTCTTAAAAAGAGAATAACTTACATAAATAGAAAGCTGGAGGCACATCTTCACTAGTGCACACACACACACACACACAAACCTGTCAAAAGAAAAAAGTGTTTTTCTGCTGTTTTTAAAGTGGCACAAATTTCGAGTTCCAGGAAAGGAACAATGCTGGGAAAGATGACTAGGCAGAAGGAATCAAAAGGGCCAGGCTCCTGGGGTCAAAAGCAGCAGCAGGCTCACCTGCAGCCTCAGTTACGCCAATAAAATGCCACTTCTCCAGAGCAGAGGAGGGCAGAGGGAGAGTATTTTGCTAGCGGCAGGTCTACAGACTCAAGCCATTCTGCAGCAAGAGAGAGCAGCAGAGACTTAAAACGAATTCCCTGTTCATCAGACAGAATGAAGATGACACCAATAGACTGAATCAGTCAATTCAACAATGGCATGCCAGAAACTTTATAAAGTGTAAGGGGAAATTCATAGAATTTGAAGATACTGGGAGCAGAAGAGGCACATCTCAAATATGACCTGGTGACTGGCAATGACAGTCTTATAAATTTCTAGATTTTGTATAATGGCAGAGAAGTCTCAAATATCATTTCTGGAGAGAGAAAGCTATACATTTAAGTGGATTCCATTTACCCAGTAACTTGAAGACTTCTCAGAAATGAGTAAGCTCAAAGGTTGTGCTTTCAGACAACTGGTAGAGACTGAATGCTATCCTGGGTTTCCCAGGTGCTGCTAGTGGTAAAAGAACCCACCTCCCAATGCAGAAGACATAAGAGATGCAAGCTCCTGGTAAATCTGAAACATGATTTTCACTCATCTTGCTTGTGGTGCATGAAAACTTGGACATGAATTCAGACTGTACTGAGATCTAGGTTCTAAGAATACAAGATTTTGACTTGGGTGACTATTTTTGGCCCATGGATCAGTCTGTTTCAAGTTTTTAGTGTGTACGTGATAAGTCATTTCAGTCAGGTACAACTTTTTGCGACCCCATGGACTATAGCACTCCTGGCTTCTCTATCCACGGGATTCTCCAGGCAAAAATACTGGAGTGGGTTGTTGTACACTCCTCCAGGGGATCTTTCTGACCCAGGGGTTGAACACGTGTCTCTTATATCTCTTGAATTGCCACTTGGAAAGCTGGCTGGTGCTAAAATAGTCTTATATGATCTTTCAACTCTTAGGATTGTTTAAAAAGTGGGGCTCCCAAGAAAGATTTGGAATTGAAATAATTTAATTCAGATCCTTCAGAGATTCTGATAGAATTATATCATGTCAATAAATAAAAGACAGTCCACAATTCCACTATGGAAAGAACCCTGGTCCTCCCCAGAACACCTAAATGCATGATTTCTGCCTGGAGGGCAGTGGGATTTAAGTTTTGGAATTTGATGTCTCTGCAATTTAATAATGGAAAGGCTTTATATTGTTCAAATTTTACTGTTGCAGATATTTTTAAAAGCAGCTAGTTAGACTCATTGCATAATTCTTGGTGAGCAATTTTTAGTTCCAGAAGGTTTTTTTTTTTATTTGACTTTACCTACTTGAGAATAGTCCTCATTTCCCTTTTATAGTCTCTTCCACTAATTTCTGTCTCTTCCATTATTTCTCACTCAAGAGGAGCCACTGGTTCTGATTATTTGGCCTGGTCTTCCTTCCTCAAATAGGCTGTAATATTTCTTTGCCTGATTCCTCTGTCTCGGTTCCCTCCAACCTGTACAGTTCCTGTTCCTGGGGTCTCTAAGGGAGTGCCAAAGAAGTTTTGTTCCTCTGGCACTGATAACATAGTAACTTAAATTGGTGATTCTCCTGCTTGTGCATGGGGTCTGGAGATGAAGGAAATAAGCTTTTCAGAATTGCACAGAACATTCTGCTTCTGCCAGGGCTGCTGGAACCATCAGGATCAGAAGATTCTCTGCCCAAATACGCCTCCCAGTAAGCAGACAAGTGGGCTTCCCTGGTCGCTCAGCTGGAAAAAAATCCGCCTGCAGTGCAGGAGACCCTGGTTCGATTCCTGGGTTGGGAAGGTCCCCTGGAGAAGGGATAGGCTACCCACTCCAGTATTCTTGGGCTTCCCTGGTGGCTCAGATGATAAATAATCTGCCTCCTGCAATGCAGGAGACCTGGGTTCGATCCCTGGGTTGGGAAGATCCCCTGGAGAAGGGCATGGCAACCCACTCCAGTATTCTTGCCTGGAGAATCCCCATGGACAAAGGAGCCTGGTGGGCTACAGTCCATGGAGTTACAAAGAATTGGACACGACTAACTGACTAAGCACAGCACAGCAAGCAGACAAGCGTAGCTCTTGTCACCTAAACACTGGCTTCTACCTGAAGGACCCTCTCATGCGACTCTCAAGCTTCTCCTATATCTCTGGCTTTTTCTGCTCAAGTACACTGCAGACGTTGAGGGCCAGCATCTTTTTAGTTTCTGGAGATTACATAGCCCAAATTTTGGTCAAGCTCTAGCATGGCTTATTTTAGTGGTTCAGTCCAGTGAAGACTTAGGAAGAAGAAATGTCACCAACATGTATCCATATAACCTCTCTTGAGAAATCTACTTGCTTTAACATTATATTTTTATTCAGAAATCAGCTCTTCTAGCTCTTATGATATTTCCACTTCATAATGTAGGCCTTTGACACATGTTTTATAATTGAAGATAGGTGGTCCTAAAAAATAAGTATTTTCAAATTCTATTCAAGAACATATTTCCTTTCATGAAAATAAAATCCTTGATCTGGTTAATATGAATCCAACTTTGCTTTGAACAGTTTGATACACACACACACACACACACACACACATACATATATATATAGCAATTGTAAATCTGTTTGCAACAGATCAAGTAACATCTAAATACATGGTGCTTTCATGTATGTTTCAATATTTTATTACTCAACAAATACATATCAAATGCCTACTAACTGTCAGACATTGTTCTGCCATTCTGAGGACACAGCCAAGAACAGAGTGAACAAAAACACCTCTGTATTGGAGCTTCTAGTGTCAGTTACTTTCTAGTGAAATGCAATATCTATGACAACAATAAGGTGTCTTTACTGACCTCACATGGAATCTCAGCAGGAAGCACCAATGCCTGTGGTATAGTGCTTCCTGAAGCTTCTGATAATTCTTCAACTTCCTTTCTCTCACTGATTTGCCCAGAATGTTCCTTTCTTAGGTCTGGTGAAATAATGATCTCCAGGTAGTCCGCAGAACCTAAGGGAAAGTTCATTAATATGGATTATAATACAGCTAAGGCCATATTAAGTTCCTCCATTGTTATGAAAACTAATTGCTGAACAGTTGGCTTAATTAATATATGGGACAACCAAACTGAGTTTAAGATAGTCAAAATAATTGAACCAATGTTAATAATTAAAATGATGCCTCATAATTTAACTAGTATTATAACCTTAGCTACTAAACTAAATCAAATACATATTTTCATCTACTAGGTAAATATTTTCCTCCCAAAAAATCCAAATACCACTTTACATTAAAACAGTAACTCTGAAAAACATGAAACTATCTCCTTTCAATGACTGTAAATAAGGAAATTTATTTATTTAAAATCAGAACAATTTAACTCAGAACAATTATTTACCCTTTATGCATATTTCCAATTTTTAAAAACAAAAGGCATAACTAGGAGATAATCTAAACAAACAAATATTTCTATGAAACACTAGTTTAATAGTGAAATATTAGTGTTCATCAAAACGTTAATGTGTCCTGTGAAAAAAGTGTCTTCAATTAAATGATATGGGTTTCTTTATGGTAGTACTATTAAGAACACTAAAATATGCTAATGTGAATTTTGAATATAAGAAGGGTAAAAGTATTTGATTGTTTAAAAATGTAACAGTAATGTAACAGCATTTGGTCTCAATCATTAAAAAACTTTATTGAAGAGAAGAAGAGTTGTGGGAAGAGAGATGGACAATATTTTTATTGTCCAAAGTCCAAAGCGTTTCCTTAGGGCACAGAACTAATATGACTGAAACCAAGGCTCTCACAACAGACACTCACAACTGTCATCTGTCTTTGGCCAACCACAAAAGTGCCCCTCAAATCTCTGAAGAAGGGTACTGGAGAAAAGGAAAACGGCTCCTAACAGCTAGAAATTGTCCTGATACCTTGTGAAGGCCTTGATGTTGCTAGGTGGTGGCCTTCCGTCCTGTTGAACACCAACAATCTCACAGAAAACCACCACCTCTAGACCACGCTGCCACCATGATGGGTCCAGTCAGAGATCAGGCTACTTTGTAATCATGTCTGAATCCAGGCAAAAACATGAACATTATCCAAACCACAAAAGGAACCAAATATCCTGAATCGTGGCTCCTGTGAGTGACTTTGCTTTTTTACCAAGTCTAGCCTCCGCCTCTTTTCATTTTTACCTTCCAGGTAGGGCAACCAACTCCTCCCAGTTTGCTTGGGATTTTGGGGAGGTTGTATGCTGAAAATGCTGTGCCCCAGAAACCCCTCAGTTGCGGGGAGAGTTGGTTACCCAGCTTCTCAGTAAGTCATTAATAACGCAAATCATAAAATTACACCTGCTTTCTGACAATAAGCAAACAATAGCAAAGACCTGCTTCCATGAACCCTTCCTCAAATCACAATACAACCCTACACCTACAGTAAGTCTTTTCTTAATACAAAGTTACTGAGATGACCCATGGTTCGCCATGGTAGCCTTCACTTCATTGCTACTAGACAAAAAAAAAAAATAATAGTTCAAGTACAGGTGTGTTCCTAGCTCCTCTGGCAAAAGGAAATTGACAGCATGACAAGGAAGAAAGAGTCAAAGGCAAATAGATGAAGATCTATATATTGATGAAGGGGGCTAGAATTTTGGTGTCATTGCATCTCAAAAGTGAAGTCACCATTCCTATCAGAGAAGCAGAGTAACAAAAGTGATGTCCTCTGGAGAAGAGCTGTCCCCATGCTACACCTAAGAAGGAGTGTTTTTTTTTTTTCTCCTGTCTTATGAAAGTTACAGAAGAAAAGTACAAAAGCACCTGGGATTTCCAGATTCTCCCAATATCAGTCCTGCTTGAAATGGCATGAAAAACAGCCTTCATTTCTCTAATGTATTTAAGACACTTCCATAAGCAGTCTCATTCTCTCTTTCTCTCTCATGCTCTTTTATACAGACCCCAAAACAGTGAAAGGTTGTATAGAACTGACTAAATCACTTTGTGAATTGATGAAAGAACAAGAGAACTGATTTTATTTAATGCATCTTAAGAGGTATATGCTGCTCCACCGTAGCAGTATCTAGGATGTTTTCTGCTAATTCATCTGTGGAATTAAGTTAGGAAGAGCTATCTTCTTTACTCTGAAGACATAATTATAGATGTGCAAAATATTTATCTCTATGAATGCTCACAGAAGATCTGTTTATAATGCGGAAAATTAGGAGCAGTCTAAGCAATAACAGACCAGATAAAAATATCTAATGTGATAAAAGATATTGTCACTAATTAAAATTCTATCAAAGAACATTTAACAGTAAGGAACAAGTTTATGACATAAGTGAAAAAATTCAAGTTACAGAATTGTCAATTTTGTAGGTTTCCATTTTAGTAAAATAAGAAGTATAGGACTTCCTGTTTCGGGTTCCATATTTAAGGAGCTTTGGAAGTCACCACTCTATCCTAACAAACAAAAAACTGAACAGACTAAAAATTCAACAACTCTTCTTTGATTAATTTTTTGTTTGTTTATGTTTGGCTGTGCTGGGTATTCACTGAAGCACTGGCTTTTCTCCAGTTGTGCAAGTGGGGGCTACTCTCTAGGGTGGTGCATGCCTTCTCGTGGATGTGACTTCTGAAGTGCAATTGACAAATTGCTGGACACTCAACAGAGGACAAGTCTGAGAGTTAAAATCTCCAGGAGGGTTCAGCTAAAAGATTGGAGGGGACACGTTATTTTGAGATTTAGCTCTAGGAGCTTGACCAGATGCCCACAGCAAATATTGGGGAACAGTATTTCTAAGGAAATGGAAACAACCTTAGACACTCCAGAACACTCTAGTCTTCTTAACAAGGCCTGCCCTCAAGAAAAGCTAGTTAATCAGAGCCTAATCTACTAAGGTATTTTCAGAGTCCAACTGACCACAGGAAGGGAAATAACTAACTGTAGTTCACTATAACAAACCTCTCTCACCTAAAGGGGATAAACAAACAGAGAAATTCTTGTGAGGTTCACAGTTGACAGGCATAGGCTTACTAAAGGACTGAGACCTAATCACAGGACTCTAGAAAGCCTCCTCCCCACACCTCACCGCTGCATTCAGTTCAGTTCAGTTCAGTCGCTCAGTTGTGTCTGACTCTTTGCGACCCCATGAATCGTAGCACACCAGGCCTCCCTGTCCATCACCAACTCCCGGAGTTTACTCAAACTCATGCCCATTGAGTCGGTGATGCCATCCAGCCATCTCATCCTCTGTCGTCCCCTTCTCATCCTGCCCCCAATCCCTCCCAGCATCAGGGTCTTTTCCAATGAGTCAACTCTTTGCATGGGTGGCCAAAGTATTGGAGTTCCAGCTTCAGCATCAGTCCTTCCAATGAACACCCAGGACTGATCTCCTTAGGATGGACTGGTTGGATCTCCTTGCAGTCCAAGGGACTCTCAAGAGTCTTCTCCAACACCACAGTTCAAAAGCATCAATTCTTTGGTGCTCAGCTTTCTTCACAGTCCAACTCTCACATCCATACATGACCACTGGAAAAACCACAGCCTTGACTAGACGGAACTTTGTTGGCAGAGTAATGTCTCTGCTTTTTAATATGCTATCTAGGTTGGTCATAACTTTCCTTCCAAGGAGTAAGTGTCTTTTAATTTCATGGCTGCAATCACCATCTGCAGTGATTTTGGAGCCCCCCTAAAAATAAAGTCTGACACTGTTTCCACTGTTTCCCCATCTATTTCCCGTGAAGTGATGGGCCCAGACGCCACCACTGCATTACTAAAGGTCTATTTGCAACAGTTCTTTTTACAGAGAATATTTGTGTGTGAGCTATGTCCCTTCAGTTGTATCCAACTCTTCTCAACTCTATGGACTGTAGCCCGCCCTCTGCCCATGGGATTCTCCAGGCAAGAATACTGGAGTGGGTCGCCATGCCCTCCTACAGGGTACCTTCTCAACTCAGGGATTGAACCCATGTCTCTTATGTCTCCTGCACTGGCAGATGGGTTCTTTACCACTAGTGCCACCGGGGAAGCCCACATCATATCTAGTTATCAAGAAAAATTACAAGGCATACATACCAAAAGGAAGGGAGTACAATTTGAAGAGACCAGGGAAAAAGCATTTGTTTTCTGTTTTTGTTACCCTGTTGTTTGTTTCTGTTTTCTCTTCAACTGTTTTTCTGCCATTGTGTTTTACTGAACATTTTATATGATTCCATTTTTCTTCTTTTTTTATTTAGCATATCAGTCATACTCAAAAACATTTTTAGTGGTTATCCTGGAGTTTGCAATATGCGTTTACAACTAATCCAAGTCCAGTATCAAATAACACTGTACCACTTTATAGATAGTTTTAGTACCTTATAATAATAAAATGATTACTCCTCCCTCCTATACTTTATATTACTGCTTTCATTTATGTCATTATATATAAACATACACAAGCATATATATGTAAAATTTATATCATATATTATATAAGCATACATTATTGAATATATTGTTGATAATATTTTGAACAAACTATTATCTTCTAGATCAATGGCAAATAGGAAATATATATATATACTTTAATTTTATCTTCAGTTATTCCTTCTTTGATGCTACAGATCTGAATTTCTGATCTATATTACTTTTCTTTTCACTATAAAGCTTCTTTTAACTTTTCTTTCAGGCAGGTCCACTGATAATAAATTTTTCAATATTTTTTCCTGAGGAAAATGTATTACTAACAATGAACAAGTGGAATTGGAAGTTAAAAATGGAATACCACTTACAATAGTCCCTCTAGCTTTTTCTTTGTCCCTCTTTAAAATGAAATACTTAGGTATAAATCTAACAAAATATGTACAATATCAATATGATGAAAACCACAAAACTTTGATAACCAAAATCAAATAAGAACTAAGTAAATGGAAATATATTCTGTTCATGGATAGAAAAACTCAATAGTGTCAAGATGTCTGTTCTTCCCAATTTGCTCTATAGATTCAATTCAATCACAATAAAAATATCAGAAA